GAACCCGCTTTCTATTTTTCCCGGTGGCATTGAAAGGAATTACTCCCCCTGGTGTGTGTCCCCCCCCCCCTGGTCGGTCATCTGCCAGGGCGGCAATCACACACCGCCCCTCCCCTGCCGGTTTTATCATTCTACACGTAACGTAATCTTTATGTGAAATCTCCCACTCTAGTCCCAACACAAACTTACACGATTAGTTGTAGGGATCTTTAGGTCGTTATGGCGGATATGTACAGAGGTTACATCAGCCGGGATAAGTCACGGTATGAAATGTATCTGTGACACAAAACCTAGACCTGATGTGTGATATTATTGCAACAAAAACCAGTTGTGGTACAAGCGCATATAGGCCTACCTGAAGCTGCGACACAACACCGCGAGGTTATGTACAGCTGCACTGACTCTATGCTCCGTGAAACTTAATAGTTCATGATTACAGCTCGCTGCCGTCAATCAGAGCTGTCAAGTACAACTTTTTTTTTTATTAAATAAACTGTATCAGTGTTACACCACTGGGTCATACAGCCTATTTGGGCTACATTACGCCACTGGGCCATACAGCCTAGTTGGGCCACATTACGCCACAGGGCCATCCAGCCTAGTTGGGCCACATTACGCCACTGGGCCATACAACCTAGTTGGGCCATACAGCCTAGTTGGGCCACATTACGCCACTGGGCCATACAGCCTGGTTGGGCCATTCTACGCCACTGGGCCATATATCCTGGTTGGGCCACATTACGCCACTGGGCCATACAGCCTTGTTGGGCCACATTACGCCACTGGGCCATATATCCTGGTTGGGCCACATTACGCCACTGGGCCATATATCCTGGTTGGGCCACATTACGCCACTGGGCCATACAGCCTGGTTGGGCCACATTACGCCACTGGGCCATACAGCCTGGTTGGGCCACATTACGCCACTGGGCCATACAGCCTAGTTGGGCCACATTACGCCACTGGGCCATACAGCCTGGTTGGGCCACATTGCGCCACTGGGCCACCAGGGCCATACAGCCTAGTTGGGCCACATTACGCCACTGGGCCACCAGGGCCATACAGCCTGGTTGGGCCACATTACGCCACTGGGCCACACAGCCTAGTTGGGCCACATTACGCCACTGCTCTGGTATCAAGTTTAAGCTAACGACGCCATACCGCGATAAAATGGACGTAAAGATTTGAGCGGCGAGATTGGAGCTATAAGCAGGTCGTAAACGATACTTTCGGCCGTTCAAAACTTCCATGTTATTCGTAACGATTAATCTTCGACGTCCAACTTTAATCTCCGGTCTGTAGTTTCTCGTCAACCATCAAAGCTGTTTGAGTAAAGGATTTGATAGAGAAATGTGCAGATAACTAAAGATACAAGCTCAGATGACTGCAGAATATAATTAAATTTTTATTTCGTTTCGTTTTCTCGCTGCAAAATGCAGATTAAATTGTTAAGAAATCAACACAATAAATTCGATAAAAAATTAGATTACATCACATTATTGCAGTAAATTTTTTTTTTCAATTAGTCAACGAATAACTCAATGAATAAAATAAAAGAGACATTCTTTAGTTACTCACCAAAAAAAATTGTTTAAATTTTATTGTCGATAATTAATTATTTAGTTAATATTTTACCTCTGTAAAAAGATGTATTTAATTGATTACTCGACGGCTAATTATTATTATTAGTATTTTCCTCGAATCTTTCTTCTAAAGTAAGAATCGATAGCAAAATATCAGAATTAGACCGATTCAATGTTTGGTTGAAATCATAGCGGCGCTTACATTCACAAACAAAAAGCTAAAATCTGTTTCTGGGTTATTTTTAAACTGAAAAACCATCCTAGCCAGTCGATGTGAACCATCCTAGCCAGTCGATGCGAACTGGTCGCGTAAAGCCATAAAACCCGGCGAACGATGTTGACGTAATCTCGGGTCTTCTGCTTTATAGCCCGGTCACTTCCGGCGCAACCCCGCACTAAAGATAGATATCTTATTTTTTCAGAGTGAGTGCCGCTCGGCACGGGGGGCTTTGAGTAGCTAGACTTTCGGGCGGTACAGGAGGCAATGAAAAAACCCCGACACGACGTTTGATAGATATAAGTACACGTCATCGGATTTATAGCCTTAGAAGCTGAGCAATTTCTAACAGAAAAACAGCACCATTTGGGACCCTGTAGACTAAAGCAATATCGTTCTACATTTCCCTCACAATTGCTCGGGCCCCTTAGACGATAGATATATTTTGTGATGTGTACAAAATACAGAAGTATCCCCCCCCCCCCCCCCCCCCACCGCAACAAATAATTTTACATTTTACACACACAACGATGATATTGTATATTAGAAATGGATGGCCGGAAATGGATTTTGATCCTGATGGAACGTTACGAAAGTGGGTGTGTCTTATTTCCCGTGCTGCCAATATTTCTTGTAACATTACATAACTGAAGACATCTACAATGTGTATATGTTGACGACCTTTGCTACGTGAATTCTAAGTTACAGAAGACCCGAGCTATTTTAAGGTTAAAAGCAATATCATGTTAGCTAACGAATATACTTTCATAATAATTTCAGTCTAAGTGTATATTACACGTTTTAATGAGTATTGATCATTGGCATCGGACTTTTTCCATTTATAAACATGCATATCACTTGTTCATAAAATGCAATGACTTTAAGTCATATTATCCAGCAGAAAAACTGTGTGAAATAAATCCATGTTACCTAGATAAGTGGAGTCATAGATTACCATGTTACCTACATAAGTGGAGTCATACATTAGACCATAGCCTGATGTCTACCTATACTTGATACATCACTATGGTACCTAGATAAGTGGAGTCATAGATTACCATGTTACCTAGATAAGTAGAGTCATAGATTACAATGTTACCTACATAAGTGGAGTCACATGGAGTCATAGATTACCATGTTACCTACATAAGTGGAGTCATAGATTACCATGTTACCTAGATAAGTAGAGTCATAGATTACCATGTTACCTACATAAGTGGAGTCATTGATTACCATGTTACCTTCATAAGTGGAGTCATAGATTACCATGTTACCTACATAAGTGGAGTCACATGGAGTCATAGATTACCATGTTACCTACATAAGTGGAGTCATAGATTACCATGTTACCTAGATAAGTGGAGTCATAGATTACCATGTTACCTACATAAGTGGAGTCATTGATTACCATGTTACCTTCATAAGTGGAGTCATAGATTACCATGTTACCTACATAAGTGGAGTCACATGGAGTCATAGATTACCATGTTACCTACATAAGTGGAGCCATAGATTACCATGTTACCTAGATAAGTTGAGTCATAGATTACCATGTTACCTACATAAGTTGAGTCACAGATTACCATGTTACCTAGATAAGTGGAGTCATAGTTTACCATGTTACCTACATAAGTGGAGTCATACATTACCATGTTACCTAGATAAGTGGAGTCATAGATTACCATGTTACATAGATAAGTAGAGTCATACATTAGACCATAGCCTGATGTCTACCTATACTTGATACAGCACTATGTTACTACATAAGTAGAATCATAGATTACCATGTTGCCTAGATAAGTGGAGTCATAGATTACCATGTTACATAGATAAGTAGAGTCATACATTAGACCATAGCCTGATGTCTACCTATACTTGATACAGCACTATGTTACTACATAAGTAGAATCATAGATTACCATGTTACCTAGATAAGTGGAGTCATACATTAACCTCTATCCTGATCCCCGCCGCCAGTGGCTGCAGCTGTAAGTGAACACCGCTTTGAAGTGAGTGATCCCATCTAAGTATACATACGTGACTGAAAGCAACTTCGCTGTCCTTCTACACAGGGAATCGATACAACCGGAAGTTACGTCACAACAAGGTAAAAGGATGCGATTGGCTGTTGACCCACTTTGATTACATTTCTCATCTACTATTATCCTATCTACCCACCCCCCCCCCCCCGTTTATCCTATCTGTCCCCCCCCCCCCCCTCCAGTATCCTCTTTAAAAAAAATCTATGAACTTCACTTGTGTTGGAGAGATTTAATAAACATAATTGCTTTGTCTTAAGTTTTTTTTTAAATGTATTTGAATAGAGAACAATTCAACGGATTGTTGATGAGAGAGTAGTACAGTTTTAAAATAAGTCATTAAAATACAATTAACTCTCATACTAAACTTAACCCAAACCTTAATAATGAACCTAACATTTTTTCTAAACTTAACCCAAATATAACACTGAAACTAACCCTCATCCTAAATTTAAACCAAAACCTAATACTAACTCCGGCTCTATTTCTAAACTGAGCACACTATAGAACGTTGAAGCTGACTTGGCAGTATCGATACAGTCAATATCACCTGTTCGATTACTGCGCTACGACTATTATTGAGAGACTGCTCAGGGGGAGTTTACTGGGTACATGTATAAAAACAATATTGTTGAGTACATATCAATCGATGACGATATGTCTGCCACGTCATATTTGTAGTGTTGTACGCCTACATTAGCGTGTACACTGAACCTGACGCCGCTCATCTTTTCTCAGTTAAGTATCAAATTACAAACCATTTTCTCATCCAGCAGGCCTGATTCACTCGCTATTGATTAGCTTTCAACATACAAGCATATATATATATATATATATATATATATATATATATATATATATATATATATATATATATATATATATATATATATATATATATATATATATATATATATATACATATATATATATATATATATATATATATATATATATATATATATATATATATATATATATATATATATATATATACCTATTAATGGCTCTCGTCTTCTCACGCCTATGTTCTTAACTAGACCTACCGTAAACACTTTAATTAAGTCAACACATGAACGTCACTGTGAGCCAAATACTCGGCCCATATCTCATGGCTCACGATCTGGAGCCAAATAAACACCTGGCTGCTCAGGTGAGCCGATGAAGAGTGCCACAGAGACAGGTGAGTTCGCTCACTTCTCGTGTTTATTGACCGAGTCAAAGCTCGGGAGAAAATACCACCTGTGGCAGAACAATAGTTGATTCCATCCCAGCTACTGTCAACATATCGACTGAACACTTTCAGGAATAGTTATTGAAACACGGCTAGTGGCAACGTACCATTATATCATTATCAGGGCAATTTGATAAAAAGCCTTACACACATTCTATTAAAAATATATATTTAAGAATCAACATTTTTAAAAATCTAACGTAATGGGACATGAGTGTCAGTTCAGACATATTTGTATAATTTATATAGTTTAAATCGCTCATTACATCACAAAACATAGGATAAAAACACAAAGCCGACACGGTACAAAGGCTGTCATTGACATAAAAAGTCAACGACATACAATATAAACGGACAAGGCCGACAGGGGAAAGGCCTATGGCAAAACACAATGATGTGCTTACATTTCTTTTGTAATTAATTTTTCAACCGCGTATCTATAACTCAATACGTAACAAAAGTTGATGTTACTGTGTAAATTATCTTACAGTATTTTTTACTAATTATTGTTATAAACCATTATGCTTTTTAAGTTCATAAATATGCTACCAAAAAAACACCACCCACATTAATAAAAACCCAAAACTTTATAGTTCTCAAAAATTGAATCAAAATATTTCTTAAAAGATTTGTGTGACTTTTTCTGTGTTTATTTCTGTGTTTATTTGCCCTGTGACTTTTTGTTCCCGTTCACCGTGTACGCCAGGGGTGGGGGTACGCCTGTGGTGGGGGTACGCCTTCGGTGGGGGTACGCCTGTGTACGAAACACAAGACTGAAGAAAATACAGAGAGAGATGAAGATGTTCGGGCAAATGAAGACTGTCTGTTCAAGCCATGTTTGACCATCACAAGCCAAAACACAACCCCATATCTCAACTGGGAACATCTGGAGCCTACGCCCGTCCGTCCGCCCGACCAGTACCGCACGCCGCACCGCTTGCAGGGCGATTCCATGAAAATAACTCGCAGACATTAGTGTGTCTGGAACAGTCTGGTCACCTGTGGTCAAGTAATTACCTGCCGGCTGGACACTTGCCTTAGGCACCAAATGGTGCTGGCCACTTTAGTGGACGGGAAATGTCTGGAGTTTGATGGATCGGGAGGCAGGGGTCGGCACTTGTTGTAAGGATCGGCACTTGTTTTGTTGGGTGGAACTTGTTGTAAGGGTCGGCACTTGTTCTGTTGGTTGGAACTTGTCGCAGGGGTCGGCACTTGTTCTGTTGGGTGGAACTTGTTGCAACACTCGGCACTTATTCTGTTGGGTGGAACTTGTTGCAACACACGGCACTTGTTCTGTAAGGTGGAGTTCGTTGCAGGGGTCGGCACTTGTTCTGTTGGGTGGAACTTGTTGCAACACTCGGCACTTATTCTGTTGGGTGGAACTTGTTGCAACACACGGCACTTGTTCTGTAAGGTGGAGTTCGTTGCAGGGGTCGGCACTTGTTCTGTTGGGTGGAACTTGTTGCAACACTCGGCACTTATTCTGTTGGGTGGAACTTGTTGCAACACACGGCACTTGTTCTGTAAGGTGGAGTTCGTTGCAGGGGTCGGCACTTGTTCTGTTTTGTAGAATATGTCGCAACACTCGGCACTTGCTCTGTTGGGTGGAACTTGTTGCAGGGGTCGACGTTTGTTCTGTTTTGTGAAACTTGTACCAACACTCGGCACTTGTTCTGTTGGTTGGAACTTGTTTCAATACTTGGCACTTTTTCTGTTTGGTAGCAGAGGGTCATTGTTTGTATTTAGTCAAATTGTACTTAAAGACTTGTCACTTGTTTGATGAAACCTTTAGCAGCAGCCTACATGTTTGTCCGGACTAATTCTGTTGGATGTGTAGCAGATACACTTGGCACAAGTTCACTATGTTGAACCATCTGTATCGGTGTATGTTGAAACTTAAAAAACAACATTTGCTTCAATTAATGGCAATTAATTGTTTGATTAAGTTCAGGTACAATGTCGTAAAAAGATTATTTTTGTATCAACTTTTACCCAACGGAACTTGAATGCTAACATTCAGTTCTGTTGTTGAAACCAAGGCAGACGGACTCTTTTTATTTTAACATCTGACCTTTATTTTAGCAGTGCTTAAAGCCATTTTAATATTACATCTTCGTTTCTAGCAGAAGCCAGATTGGAAATGTGGACGATGCTATAAAAAAAGTAAAGGGGTTAAAGAAAAGTGTATATAGATCTAGTTCAAATGGACTTTATTACCGTATTTTTTTCTTTCCTACAACAAACATGATGATTTTGTAACATCGGTCGAACGTGTTCTTAAATATAAAAATAAATACATAGATAAACACAGATATAAAACAGATCATTCAACAGATACCCCCTGCATCTTGTAGTGAGCGGCGAAAGGTCATTTTCAAAATTCGCATTTTTTAACTGTCGTCCTAATCTGGACATCACGCCGTCTGCACTTCAAAGGTGAGCCGAGCCGCAGCTGGCCCTCGGCTCAACGGTATCGTGTTTTATGCGCCCGCAAGTGGCTCAACGGCTAAAGTACGGCCCAGCTGGTTAAAGTCTGGCTAATCATCTGACCAGCGGGGGTCCAGTTTGGTGAAGTCTGTCACGTGCCTCTCTACGTCTGCAGCCCCCCAGTAATAAATCTTGAGGCCGATCACCCCGGACATAGAGCATCTAAATCATACACTGGCCGCACAGAGGTGAAAAAAATTATCTCCTGGTGAAAGATTTATTCACACGTTAAAACACATTTATATTGCCTCGGGGAAACGGTGAACTAGCGAATGATTTTTAGAACTATAAGGCCGATTGGATGTATGTCCTTGACACTCCATGAACTGAACTGACAGGGCCGAAACTCCATGAACTGACAAGGTTGACACTCCATGAACTGACAAGGTTGACACTCCATGAACTGAACTGACAAGGTTGACACTCCATGAACTGAACTGACAAGGTCGACACTCCATGAACTGAACGGACAAGGTCGACACTCCATGAACTGAACTGACAAGGTCGACACTCCATTAACTGACAAGGTTGAGAGTGTCTGTGAAAACAATGTGAACGGTAAATAACCCTAGTTGAAACGTAAATGTACCTACATTTGAGATTTGAAATAAATATAGACACCGTCGCACTAGACATCACTATCTCCTCTACCAGCTAGAAACATTCACCACACTTCATAAAGTCGTATTTTGTTTACCTAGCAATTATAATGTGACGTGAAAGACGGCATTAATCGTTTCTCCCTTTTACCTTTAGTTAAATACCATCGCGAGAGGTAATCGTTCAGACCGTACAATTATACGGGAGATTGACTTTTTCTTCCTAATCATTTGAGTTCAACTCGTCGTTATTTACTGCAGTTAAATCTGCTCGCTATAATCTATGCTGGTTTTAAGATTTGTTTAGCCAATAATCTTTCGTGTATAACCTTTTAAAAACCTCATGTTTACAGAACCATAATGTCATATTGGCTGTGTTTTTTCGTTACCATGTTGGTCAACTAGCTACACTTTGCTCATGTTGCCAACAAGTGGACGCACTCGTTTACAAAAAGACGGTGTAAAGCGTTTTAGTCATTCATGTTCATGTATAAATGATGTATAATTTAAACTTTATTAATTTGATTTTTAAAATCAAGTAACAACAAAGCTAAGCCCCACACACGTTTCCTAGTTAGGTCCTATACTTTGCTCTATCTTACACTAGCTACGTCCTATTCCATGTCCTATCGTGTCCCCCGTGTCCTACTTAGATCCCATGATCGGTCCTATTTTATGCTATTTAATCAAACTTTGACCTTTACTCTATCCAGCAATAATGTCGTGTCTATCCTTACACGTGTCTGTATGTATCACATAACACATGCTTTTACTAACGCTCAACACATACATCCAAATTTTTAGAATAAACGTTGGATTCTGCTGATTTCCATTCTTTAATTTGATCATTTCGTTTCGTTTTTCTCTTGGAGAAGTTGGCTTTTAAACAAGACATGTGATAAGAAAATAATGGCCAAAGCCTTTAAATAAGAATGATTTGCTGAAACTACAAACTCCTAATCTTCCCGAGCTCGCCATTTCTTGCGCAGCAACCCAATGCGCACACAAAGAGGAAGTGGCGAAATACATTTCTCTTAGAAGCGAAATTATGTCCCATTATACAAGCTTATATCTGTGGCCTATATACATGCATGGATAAATACATACTTATATGTATATATATATATATATATATATATATATATATATATATATATATATATATATATATATATATATATATATCAATAGTATTATGTAAGTGTTTACTTTAAACGTCTACATGCAGCGTTCTGATTTAATTTTCTGTATGTACCGAGGAGCACACAATGGTTCAAATCGCCCGTTAAAAAAAAACATTTGCGGGCCTAACATAAAATATACCAGTCAACACAACAGCCATTTAATTAAAGCTTACAGGAACATTCCCCGTAGCTCTCTCGTGCGTTCGCTAGTCGCGGCCCACGGGCATAGACCTTCTTTACTAATTGACTCTAGACTATGGATTTCTACGCTGGAAGTAGTGCGAACTTGGGTCATGTGACCAACTTAGCGGGGAGGGACGACTAGAGTCGGAGTACTATGATGGGCTAGACTAGAGGGAGAGAACTAGAATTGGCTTGACTAGAGGGAGAGAGATGTTTAGGAGGAACTATACTAGAAGGGAGAGAACTAGGATGATCTAGACTAGAGGAGAGAGAATAAGAATGATCTAGACAACATGGAGAGAATAAGAATGATCTAAACTAGAGGGGAGAGAACTAGGATGGGCTAGACTAGAGGAGAGAGAACTAAGATGATCTAGAGAGGGGAGAGAACTGACTACCTACAGGGCGACAGCCGCGCCATGTTTACAAACAATGTCGAACATCTAAATGAGCAGGGCACCAGGGCCATGGCCGCGATGATTTCCTAACATGTAAA